CAACGGTGCTCGCAATATACTACTTCGCTATCTTACCGTTACATCTAAAGAGCCGGTTTATGCCGGCGCTGGGACCTTCATGATCCTTGCAGAACACGTATATTTCCTTATTGAGCATGATCAGAAATGTGATGTTTGATTAGGAATATATAGGTTTAATTGTAGGCGTAACTCTATTTGTATAACAAATCTCTGGTATCCCGATAAGAACTTGAAATTTAACGTAAAGCCAATTGTAGCATCAAAAATGAATTACGGCAAGTAGCTCTAGTCTATCACGAAGTACATAAAGTTGTATCCGTATAGAAGTTGAATCTATTGTCATAGATCTAAAGATTTTCTATACACATTGTTCTTTATTCTCTCTTTGTTTCTTTTATGTCATTGTTTTTATTTCCAAAGGCGAAGAAAAATTATAGGACAAAAAATATGTGACGAAAAAACTACGGAATGATTGTTTCATGAGGTGATACCACACCTTAAATTCTGGTTCTATTGTTAAGACATTCATTATTAAAAATTGAATTTGCTTGTAGTGCAATTAATGCTACGAATTTTCGTTGGATCTACGCGCAATAACAATAACGATAAGAGCTACGTGCTCAATTCATTAAAAATTCAAAGCAGCCACGAAGGCTAGGTAAAAATGATAAAGAGCACCAGGTGAAAACACAAAATTGACGATTTCCCAAAGTGACATAGAACGATTGTTTGTTGCTTTCACCAATTTTCGAACTACAGTGGGCGCTGGATACAATAACGTGATCGGGGGAAGAGATTATGTCGAGATGTTACTCTATCGAAAATCAATACTATGAAAGCTTATTACAGTAATGAGATCGGGGGAAGAGATTTTGTGTTATTATAACGAGATGTTATCTTAAAGAGTGTTACTGTAACGAGCGCTCACTGTATTACTACAGAGAATAACGATAAAGTTCTTCCATCGTAACTTTCAATTAAAAATCTTACTTTTAATTGACTAAAAGATCTTAAGTGAAAACATTAGGGTAATGCCAAGTCTGTTCGAAATTGCTTGTGAAATTTCCACCCTGGACAATAAACATTTAATAATCTCATTGAAGCATAAATAATGTATTGGCATTAACAAGATAGATCTTTGGAAAAAGAGAGATAATGTTTGCAACTTTATTTTTTTTATAACAAACAATATACGAAAAAATATTTTAATCACAGTAAAAAGAATATTAATGTTGAAACACAATACCAAAAGCTTTGCTATTTTCAATGTTAAAAATTTCATTTTGCAATTTTTTGAAATATTATATATGCATATATACATATATACATATATAATGGTTTTAAAAATTTCTCCGTGTACCCGTTATCGTTACCTCGCGAGTACCTTTGTATGCTATTTTTAGAAAAAAAAATTGGTTAAATGAAATGAATAATGCTAATTTCTGTGAAATTTGGTATATTTTAAAAGTATTGAGAAGACAAGGAATGTTCTGGAAATTACGAAAAATAATGTAACCCCTGCAAATAAGCTACCTCCCAATTTTTAAAACCTACGTAAAATCGTAAAAAAAAAAAGGTAGAGTACTTTCGACAATCACATGGTAATATCGTGGCGTTTAACAACTTGAATTCTTGCAATGTTTCGTGGCGCCAGTGTGCCCATTTGACATACCTCGTGGAAGATTTAATTTAAATGGAATTTCTATATTTAGTGTTAGGAAAAAGAAAGGGGACGTTTAAAAGATCTTGGGAAAATTTGTGGTCACGAAGGAAAGATCTCTTTTTTCGTAGCATGTATGTGAAATTAACGCACAATAAAGAATGTTAACTATTATCACCGAGAAACGTAACTAGCGTTATTTCTGCTTCCAAAAGAGGACTGATTATTCTGTACTTTTTTGGTTATTTTTTTTGTTCATTAATTACGAAATAAAGCATTATCACTGACTTCATACATGGAGAGATATGAAAACGAAAAGACAAAAAAAAACACCCTTATTTCTATGGCTTTTTTTGTTAACGTGTAGCCACGCGGGATTTGTTTCTATCGCTGTTGATTAAACAATAATCATCCCTCGTTATCGTTATATAGAAGCTGCGTCTGTACATTTTAATGATCAAATTAATGGAGACGCCAATCAGTATTAGTAATTATAGCAAAGGTTCAAAATACTACTATGGACGTACAATGTATTTGTACGCTTGGTACACTCCAACATCCCACGCGTACACACAGAGACACGCACACAACATCTATTTTAATACAAACATGTATATACGCTAAATTAATAATGATACTGAAATCTTGTACACTAAAAAAAAAACTTGTTTTTATTGCGTTGATGATGACGATGATGAAGGAATCCAAAAACATAACAGCCATCAATCATAGCGCACACGCACACACTAAACTTGAAAACTAATAAATATTCCCCTTTAAAAACTCCGACCTCCGACCAACGAACACACGTACTTGCACACTTGCACTTAATACACATATCCACTAACTTTGACGATTTTAATTGATGGATTCTTTAAAATAAAGGACAAACTTTAATTTTCATCGCCACATACACAACATCGTATATAAATAAATAGAGATGATGGGTGACGTCAGTCTTTATATACGAACGACATAATTTACTCGATACAAAAATACCGAAACACACATTTTACAACTCTCTCTTGATTTTATTTTTCTTGATTTTTTGAATTTAGAATATCCCAATAATAATAATTATAAGTTATAATAATCATCGATTCAATCCATTCCATAGATATTATATACACACACACTTTTTCTCGCGTGTGCATTCCATTCTATAATATTGTCTCAAAATAAAAGTATCGCGTATTTTCTCACTTTGCATATTTTTGGAATCGTGTCGAGAAAACTTTGACGATACGCACACCAAAAATAGTCAACTAACCAACACATAAAAAAAGGAAATAGACACTCGATCGTTCTTTTGCTTTCACGCAACAAGAACTACTTCGCTAAGTAAAATGGTAGATTCAATAAGTAGCAGTAACTCGGAACTCGAAGATTTGTCGCAGGCGGACTCCTCACCATTACCGCTAACTGTTAAAACCACCATGAATAACAATAAGAATAATGATATCATGGCTGCGAAAGGGGGAGCAGGGCTAGGAGGCACTTTACTTTGTAAATGGGAACGTTGTAACTCTTCTTTCACAAGCTTAATTGACCTGGTGGCTCATTTACACGACGGTAAGAGAGAATAATTTAAATAATAATGTTAAGAGATTAAAGGGTAATTTTGACCCGAACTAAAAATGGTATAGCTCCAAAAAGGTCTTATTTAGGGGTGATGTGTGTGACATTGATTTTTGGGTGAACTACATTTTTGACCCCACAATAATAAATAATTATTTTTCCCTTCCTAATCTAATCACTATATCGTCATCATCATTATTATTATTTCGACGACTTGTGTTGTTATAGAACACGTCGGAAGAAAAAAAGCAGCATATACCTGTGAATGGGCAGGGTGTCCACGAAAAAGCAAGACGCAAACTTCGCGATTTGCACTTATTACACATTTACGGAGTCATACTGGTGAAAAACCTTTTACTTGCGAAATTAAAGGTTAGTCTTTCGGTATTATCGTTTATCTGAATCTCTGTTTATCCGAAAGAAAAGAATATTTTCATGGGGCTTGGCGCTCAATGAGGTGTATGTGTGGTTTTGTAGAAGCGGTGGCACGGACACATGCGCATCTAAACGCTGAAATTATTCAAATAGATATACCTAAATAATGAATGTTTAGTAACTAAATTTATCGTCACGTAGGTTGTGAAAAGAAATTCACACGACCAGATTCATTGACAAAGGTTTGTTCTTTCTTTTTTGCGTACTATGCATCATTTCTTCTCGTATTCAACTCACTCAATGTCGTATTTATCTTTCCATGGTGTTTATCAGCATATGAAAAGTCAACACGAGGATACATCGGACAACAAAAAAAAGCGTAACATGGAAGAAATATTTAAACAAAACCCCGGTTCATACAAAAAACGACGATTTGACGACGTTGATAATGATAATGATAGCAATTTATCATCTACAACGACGACAACCACCACCACCACCACAACAAATGGTCACTCTAATCATCAACAATTAAGAACTAATAATAGTGGTAGTAATAATGGTTTACCTTCTTCCAGTAATCATTATCTTAACAATCATAATGACAATCACCACCACAACAATAATCATAATAGTCGTCAAAATCGTACGAATGCATCTAATTTTAGACAATTAGAGACATCACCGTACATCAATCAAAGTCATATATACACCACTTCCTCTTCAAGCGGAAATGATGAAGGGGGAGAAAACATTGTTGATCACGAAGAAGATGACCGTGACAATGATAGCGAGGAGGTGGAATACGACGACGAACGAAAGGTTAACAACAACAATATTATTACAACTGGTTCCTCGTCATCCAGAGAAAGTAGCACGGCAAATGTCCATCAACATCCAAATCAACATCATGGTCAAGTCCAACAAAAATCCTATCACGAAAAATATTTGATTCTCAAGGCGAAACATCGTTACATTCGTAGAGAGAATGAATTATTGATTGACGAATATCAGGCGATCAAAAAGAAATTGAAACGCCTTCGCACGGAAAAAGACATTTTACTTGATGCTGTAATGACCCAAATTGGGGATGGATAATAATATAATACTATTATTACTACTATCATAACTATTAATACTATTACAGTCTATTACTATAATTAATACTATTCAGCAATAAAATAATCTATTCAAGATACACATACATACATTGCCCCCCCCCCCCCCCCCGCTCAATGCTTACAGTTCTTATTCCTTCAAATCCTCATCTTGTAAATAGTTTATGTGATAAAATCATTAGTGTGCGATACCAAGAATAATAAAATAGTAGATTGTTATTAATTGGTGATATGTATTAATTAATATATAATAGTGGCGATCTGATTAAATAACAACATTATCAACTGCAATTTTGATGTCATTCATAAAGAACTTACTCAGCAGAAATAATACTTTCCCTAATTAGTGGTACTGGAGTCGAAATATCACATGATATGATAAAATTACGCGATCATCATCTTTAATGTTAATATATAATCAGTCGCAGATTACAAGAAATCGAGCATTTGAATTGAGCAATTAGCCATTTAAAAAATTCTACAGACAATGGATTGGAATACGAGGAAGAAGAGTTATTTGATGGTGAAAGTGGAAATGGCGATAAAAAGAACGCATGATAAAAAATTATCGGATAAATTACAAGTACAAGAGTGACCCGATAATCGTATTAGCGTAGGACCCAGTCAAAACGATACTAAAATTTCGATATAACGATTATAACTTGACTTTCCCACGCAGTGTATTTTTTATTACTCATTCATTTTTTATTACTCATTCATTTTTTATTACTCATTCATTACTCTTTGTGATGTTATAATAAAAAATTTCCCATAAAATGATGGAATGATCTATTATCGTTATCGATACACGTAACGATATTGTAAATATATAAACCCACCCACCCACCCAAGGCAAAAACAATTTTCTTTTCACATACAAACTACAAAATACGCGACACAGCATTTCATGACTAGGACTTGACACTATGGTATAAAATGTGTTGTACTTCACTTGCTTAACATGCTTGACAATTAGAACGGACAGAACAGACGAAACGGATGGAGCGGATGGTAAAACTTGTGCTTGTGGTTAACTTGTTTGACATTTAGAACTGACGAAACGGACGGAACGGATAGTAAAAACTTGTGCTTGCCGTGTTACTTGCTGCTCGCGACTTGTTTATTTTTTATGCATAAATCCAGAACGGCGGAAGCGGGCTGGTTGAACAACGCTGCGGAAAATGTCTGGTGGAGAAGGCGCTTTGGATTGGAGAGGTATTAAGTATAAAACTAAATAAATTAAATGAATGCTTTGTTACTTCATTTTGGTTTGCTTCGCTTCGTTTTTTTTTCGCAAAGCAACCGGTCTGAACAACGCTACGAAAGGTCTGATGGAGAAGGCGCAGGGATCTTCGGAGATTTTGAGAAAGGTATTAAGTATTAAACTAAATAAATTAAATGAATGCTTTGTTACTTCATTTTGGTTTGCTTCGCTTCGCTTT